TGAGTATTTATTTATTAATATAAAAAAAGAGTTTTTATAAACAAAAAATTGCCTAAAAATTATTTAAAGAGTTTAATTCAAATTACAAATTAACTAATAAAATTCATAAAAATTAATTTAAAAAGTTTAATTCAAATTACAAATTACTTAATAAAATTCGTTTTTCTTGTCCTACATTGGTTTTAAGTAAAAATGATTACATAGAAACCTCTTATAAAACTATGACCAAAAGAAATAATAATCACACCTTTCTCGGCCTTTTGGATAAGATCAAGTGTAGTACTAAATTTTTTTGAGTCGGCCTCTTGGCTAACCTTTCTTGGTTATTTGGCTAAAATCATGTGTAGTACTACTTGCTCTGCCTTTTGGCTTTGAGTATTTATTTATTAAAATTAAAAAAAAAAAGAGTTTTTATAAACAAAAATTACCTAAAAATTATTTAAAGAGTTTAATTCAAATTATAAATTACCTAATAAAATTTATAAAAATTAATTTAAAAAGTTTAATTCAAATTACAAATTACATAATAAAATTTATTTTTCTTAACCCACATTGGTTTTAAGTAAAAAAGATTATATGGAAGACTCTTATAAAATTATAGACCTGAAGAAATAATAATCACACCTTTCGCGGCCTTTTGGCTAAAATCAAGTGTAGTACTAAATTTTTTTGAGTTGGCCTTTTGGCTAACCTTGCTTGGTTTTTTGGCTAAGATCAAGTGTAGTACTACTTTCTCGACCTTTTGGCTTTCAGTATTTATTTATTAATATAAAAAAATAGTTTTTATAAACAAAAAATTACCTAAAATTATTTAAAGAGTTTAATTCAAATTAAAAATTACCTATTAAAATTCATTTTTCTTGTCCCACATTGATTTTAAGTAAAAAGGATTATATGGAAGTCTCTTATAAAACTATAGACCTAAAGAAATAATAATTACACCTTTCTCGACCTTTTGGTTAAGATCAAGTGATGTACTAAATTTTTTTGAGTTGGACTTTTGGCTAACCTTTCTTGGTCTTTTGGCTAAGATCAAATGTAGTACTATTTTCTCGACCTTTTGGCTTTCAGTATTTATTTATTAATATATAAAAAAGAGTTTTTATAAATAAAAAATTACGTAAAAATTATTTAAAGAGTTTAATTCAAATTTCAAATTACCTAATAAAATTCATTTTTCTTGTCCCACATTGGTTTTAAGTAAAAAGGATGAGTTTAATTCAAATTTCAAATTACCCAATAAAATTCATTTTTCTTGTCTCACATTGATTTTAAGTAAAAAGGACTACATGGAAACTTCTTATAAAACTATATGACTTTTTGGCTAAGATCAAGTGTAGTACTAAATTTTTTTGGGTCCGCCTTTTAACTAACCTTTCTTGGTCTTTTGGCTAAAATCTAATGTACTACTATTTTTTCGGCCTTTTGGCTAACCTTTCTCGGCCTTTTGACTAATCTTACTTTCTTGGCCTTTTAAATACGCAAAGAGTTTCAGTCTTTCAGTATTTATTTATTAATATAAAAAATGAGTTTTTATAAACAAAAAATTACCAAAAAATTAATTAAAGAGTTTAATTCATATTACAAATTAACTAATAAAATTTATAAAAATTAATTTAAAGAGTTTAATTCAAATTACAAATTATCTAATAAAATTCATTTTTTTTGTCCCACATTGGTATTAAGTAAAAAAGATTACATGGAAGCCTCTTATAAAACTATAGACCTAAAGAAATAATAATCATACTTTTCTCGGCCTTTTGGCTAACCTTTCTCGGTCTTTTGACTAAAATCAAGTGTAGTATTACTATATCAGCCTTTTGGCTAACATTTTCAAATTATAGAAAGTCTAAAAATTATTACCTAATAAAATTCAAATAAAATATAAAAGTTATTACCTAATAAAATTCAAATAAAATATTTATTAAAACTCTAACACGAAATACATTTCAAATATAGAAACTTTAAAAATTAATACCTAATAAAATTCAAATAAAATATTTATTAAAACTCTAACACGAAATATATTTCAAATTATAGAAATCTAAAAAAAAAAAAGAGTTTCTATAAAACTCTAAAAATTATTACCTAATAAAATTCAAATTACCTATTTTATCTATTTGTTGTTTCTAAAAAAAATTGTACTCTCTCTATATATATATAAGTATTTTTTTGCCTTGCTACATAAAGTATATTTCAAATTATAGAAACCCTAAAAATTATTACATAATAAAATTCAAATAAAATGTTTATTAAAACTCTAACACGAAATATATTTCAAATTATAGAAACTCTAAAAATTATTATCTAATAAAATTCAAATAAAATATAAAAATTATTACCTAATAAAATTTAAATAAAATATTTATTAAAACCCTAACACGAAATACATTTCAATTTCTATATGTCAAATTATATAAACTCTAAAAATCATTACCTAATAAAATTCAAATAAAATATTTATTAAAACTCTAATACAAAATATATTTCAAATTATAGAAACTCTAAAAAAGGGTTTCTATAAAACTTTGAAAATTACTACCTAATAAAATTTAAGTTATCTATTTTATCTATTTGTTGTTTCTAAAAGGATCTATACTCTCTCTATATATATGTTACACATGTGGCAATCAACACCTACAAAGGTAAATTATCATACAAATTGATATTATTTACATTATATATTATTAAATAAATCTATAATAACAAATTTTTACAAATAACAATGTATATTCCAGGCTTATCTCTTCAAACACAAAATTGATCTACATTGCATATTAATATGGATATTGAAAGTGTCAAAGAATTAATATATTGATTTGTTATTTGTTGTAACTTCTTTTACGTTATATATACACTATTTGTAGAAAGAGAACATGTTATTTATTTATTTATTTATTTATTTAATTAATTATTTTACAAGATAATTTATATGTGGACAGGTCCAAAGAGAACATAAGTAACAAAGATATAACAAGTTTGATTTCCAGTACAAAAGATCAAAAATTCAATGATGCTAAAAAGTCAAACTTCAAGACATAATAGGAAAATCTACAATGTCCTTTGAGGTATTAAATTTCAGTATATTTCTTAATCTTTCTTAATTGTGTATCACATTTTTATATTCAACTTATGTATTGAGAAGTTATATTTTGTTGCACAACCTGTAGAAAACAAATTACTCTTTCGAAACAATAATTGAAAATGTTGTCAATGATCACGAACCATTGTACAACGCGTATGAGAAATGCAACAAGAAAATTAAAATTGAAAAAGATAAAGTATACTGTCCTCGATGCAACACAACAGACCCAAAATGCTTTCAAAAGTATTATTATATCTTAAAATTAATCTTATTATTGTATTTATTTCAATGGTTTAATAATATTACAAATAGATAATTCTTTGTCTTTACTCATGTGCAGATTCATGATGATAATTAAAGTGCGAAGTGTGGAACATATTGGAACACTTGCAACCCTAACAGTGTTTAATGATTGCCAAACATTAATAAATTGTTCACTAGAAGTTTACTACAATTACAAATTGAGGTAATTTTTCATCCTTATTCATAAAATTTTAATTAAATTAAAAAAATATTTACTTCAATTTCTCAATAGTTCTAAATTTTCAATAGCTCTAAATTATATTTGTTCTTTTTGTAAGACATGGATGAATTTAGCAACAAAGTGACAAGCTGCAAAGGAAATTTTTTTCTCTTTCTCGTGAAAACAAGTCGTGAAAACAAGTCGTGAAAACTTATTCTGCGGTGGAAGAATTAAAACAATTGACACTTGACAATGATTCATTTCATGAAGAAATGAAATATGCAAAAAAGATAAAGATTGAGAAATAAATAATTTAAGAATACTTTTATTTTTAAACAGTTATAGTTTTGGAGTTTCTAATATATTTTGTTTCTTTTGAGGTGACAATTATTACAATCTAAAAATTGTTGGTACCCTTTCAAATTATATAATATATAGAATTTTTATATAGTATTTATTTATGAATATTTTGTAAATTATAGTATTTTATTTTCATATATTTTTTAAATGTTTATAGTTTTCATTCATATATCAATGGAAAACTTTATTTTGTTTCTTTTGAGGTGACAATTATTACTCTTTAAGGCATTCTAGGCCTGAAACTGTTTTGCCTAATTTTTTTTTATTTTTTTATAAACAATTAAAAATATATATGAAAATATATATTATATAAGTTAGAAAACATTTATCATGTACATCACACGTGCCTTTTATTAGTATATATATATATATATATACACACACACACACATCACTGTGTTTCTTTAAGAAATGACTATATATATCTACAAAAGTCTCGTCTCTCTTGCTCTCAAGAACTCTTCACATCTCAACAAAACCCCAATCTCCCTTTTCTCTATCCTCTTCTTCTCTTCCTCTCCAAAAACCCCCCATTGCGGTGGCTGATTACTTGATTGAGAAATACATTTTTCTCTTAAAACTACTTCAAAAGTCTCTTCCGTCGTAACGTATCTGAAAAGGCCTGAAGAGACCGAATCGATTCTTTCATTTATCGAGGAAAGTGGTTTTTCGGATACCTATCTTGAGCATGTCATCAAAAAACGTTCTTAAAGTTCTCTCTACAAATCTTGAGCGCACCATCAAACCCAAATTCAAGTTTTTTCAAGACTTGGGTTTTTCTTCTAGTGATGTTGTGAAAATTGTTTCGTCTAAGCCACGAATTCTAACTGGTAGCGTTAATAATCAGCTTAGCCCATTGATTTTAGCATTGAAGAGTGTTTTGGGTTCAAAATATGGATGATGTGTGTAGGGTTATAAAGAGATCTGGGTGGTTTTTGATGAGTGATTTGGCGAAAACTATGATACCTAATATTGAATTTTTGAAGAGTTGTGGTATTAGTTCTTCGAATAACTCAATGTGTCTATAACTACCCAAGGTTTTTCTTGTATAAACCGACGAGGATTAGAGAAATAGTCAAGAGGGTTGATGAGATGGGCTTTAACAGGGACTATAATATGTTTCTTCATGCCATTTGGGTTATTAGTTCGATGAGTAGAGAGAATTGGGAGTTGAAATTAGAGCTCTTTAAGAGTTTGGGGTTTTCAGAAGACGACATTTTGTCAGTTTTTAGGAAACAGCCTATGGCATTTGCTGTGTCAAAGAGGAAAATTAAGGCCATAACACAGCTTCTCCTTAACACTGGCAAATTTGACATCTCATTTGTTGTTAAGAACCCAAATTTACTTATTCTCAGTGTTGAAAATAGGCTTAAACCGCGGTTAGGAGTTATGAAGGTTTTGGAAAGGAGGAATTTGCTTCTTAAAATGCCAAATTTGAGGACTGTATTCCAGATGACTGATAAGAAGTTCTTGGAGAAATATGTAGTCCCTTATTCAGATGGAGTAGGTGAATTATTCGTGGTTAAGAAGGCCTCATTAACAGTAGAAATATGTGCTTAAAATCATGACATCCTTTGTGACTTCATGATTTAACACCTAGAGGCAGGTTGAGACTGAATTTTTTTTCCTAAAAACAACGACTTAGTGGCATAGCATGGCAAGTAAGGAGGTACACTTTTGCACTAGATATTCACATTTTTTTTTCTTGCATTCATATGGTGTACAACTCTGAGAAACTGTAACGACCCAAAACTAAATACCAATTAAAAATAATTTTAAAAAAAATTCGGCATGACCCCTGCAAAAAAGGGTCCTAAAACAACTTACTTAAATGCATAAAAATGCATACGGCCTCTCTTGGACCTTCAAAAATTTACCTAACATGTCCCAACACAATGCAAATAATACATTTCTTTCATTCATTCATTATATCTCAACATTGTTCAGTTTATGGTGGAACACTTACATGCTATTTAATCAAAATATCATAATTACAGTTCCAAAAATATAATTACAACAACAAGAGTCTATAAGTCTCAGTACGGAATACAACATGCTAAGTTTTACAAAAATAGTGGGACTTAGCTACAAAAATAACAAAATGATCATCTAATCCATGCGAAACCTATGGTGAAACATCATCCGCCACTTCATTCCCATTTCCTGAAAAATGTTAAAATGAAGGGGTAAGCATAAGCTCAGTAACAAGTGCCTAAGGCACACCTCTTTAGACCCCGTGAATCCACACAATGAATAGGAATAAAGAAATTGGGATCATACCATGCCGGGAAAAAAAATATAACCACAATACCACTTCATTAATCCGATACCACAAATGAATATGCCATGTAATGATATGCCATGCCATGTAATGTCACTCCCCATTTTTCAAAACCATTTCCATCATCATTTTCAAAACGTTAGTGAACCCGTCCCATCGCAACTCTATGGCAACATGAGAGGAGGATTGGCCACTGTCCCTGACCCATGGCAACTCCTTGGCGTCATTTGGGGCCCAGGTAACTCAACTCCACTAAGGCGATCTCTCTAAGCCTCACTTACGCCATGGTCCCAGGCAACTCCTAGGCGGCCGGGTTTTTCACAAAAACATTTTCAAAACCTTTCCCAAAAGCTCATTTCTTTCTTTCAAAACAACATTCAACATTTCTTCCCAATGAAATGCATGTATGCTTCATATTTTCATGCCATGCCAATATTTATCAACACACATGTAATTTCAAACTCATGCCATTTTACATGCTTTACAAGAATTTCAAAGAAATTATCACATTACTTACATTCAACAATAAGTTAACAAGATTTAAGCATGTAAGACAAAAATCCTATATCATTCAAGTCTGCTATTACACATAATGTCAATTAAAACACATAGTCATATAATTCATTTAGAACAATTTAATCATTTACAAGAAGATCAACACAAAATATCATGCTAATTAGCAAAAATCAAGAAGGAAATTCACTAAGGTGCAAGAAATTGTACATTATGAACCCTTACCTCTAAATAGCCTAAAGCCCCAATTTTCACCTTAAACCCTAGGATTTAGAGATCCTTCAAATGATGGCCAAATGGAGATTGGCCTAAATCAACTAGTAGACCTCGTCGCGGGCTTCAAGTTGCCGCAAACGGCACTTAAAAATACTAAATAGTGAATGAGAGATCAAGCTTAAGTGATGTGGAAAAGAAAACAAAAAACTAGAACCAGTGAGAGAGAGAACTATTGCGAACAGAGAAAGAAAAATGAATGAAAAATAAGAAAAAAAAAAAAAAAAAAAAGAGGTCTTGCTCACTTATGATAAGGGTGGGCTCCACCAACTTTTCCATTTAATATATATAAAAAATAAAGCATAACATTACATTCTCCCTAACTTTAAAAGATTTCGTCCCTGAAATCAAGCCATACCTGGGGGGGAAAACAACTCTAGATACTTAGAGCGAACCTCCTATTCAAGCTCCCAAGTAGCCTCATTCACGCCGTGATGCTTCCATGGAACCTTTACCAATGATATCGTCTTGTTCCTCAACACCTTCTGCTGTGTGTCAAAGATCTGAACTGGTCCCTCCTCGTAGGAAATATCCTCATTAATGTCCACATCAACCCAACTCGAAAACATCGATACATAGAAAACATTGTGGACCCTGTCCAACTGTGGTGGCAAAGCAAGTCTGTAAGCAACCTCTCCTACCCGGTCTAAGATCTCAAAAGGTCCAATGAATCGTGGCGATAACTTGCCACTCTTCCTGAACCGCAACAACCCCTTCCGTAGAGAAACCAGAAGAAAAACATGGTCTCCCACCTTAAAAGATAGCGGTCGTCTCCGCCTATCCGTATAACTCTTTTGTCGGCTCTGAGCTGTAAGCAATCTCTGTCTGATTAGCTTAATCTTCTCAGTAGTCTCAAGTACAATGTCCGGTCTTAGGGAGGCTATCTCGCCCACCTCAGTCCAACAAACAGGAGACCTATAAGGTCTACCATACAATACCTCAAATGGAGCCATCTGAATATTCGCCTGATAATTATTGTTGTAGGCAAACTCAATATGCGGTAGATGATCTTCCCAACTACCACCCAAGTTAAGTGCATATGCCCGAAGCATATCCTCCAAGATGTGGATGGTACGCTTCAACTGGCCGTCCGTCTGTGGATGAAATGCCGGACTAAGATGCAACGCTTCAACTGGCCGTCCGTCTGTGGATGAAATGCCGGACTAAGATGCAACGCTGACCCAAACGCTGCTTGAAGTCCTTCCCAGAACTTCAAAGTGAACTTGGCATCCCTGTCCGAAACAAAAGTTACTGGAACTCCATGCAACCTTACAATCTCCTTCACATAAAGAGCACCAAGTGCCTCCGCATCATCTGTTGCCTTAATAGGCAAAAAGTGAGCCATCTTGGTCAATCTATCAATGATGACCCATACGGCCTCGTTGCCTCTCCCTGACCTTGAAAGACCTGTCACAAAATCCATAGCAATCTGCTCCCATTTCCACTGCGCTACAGGCAATGGTTGTAATAAACCAACTGGTCTCTGATGCTCGGCCTTCACCTGCTAACAAGTAAGGCATCTAGCCAAAAACTATGCAACATCTTTCTTCATTCCGTTCCACCAATACTGACGTCTCAAAATGTGATACATTTTAGTACCACTTGGATGAACTACAAAGCGGACAATGTGAAACTCCCGTAAAACGTCCTCACGACAAACTGTGGGAACAACCAATAAACCCTTAAACCGTAGACCTCCATCTACATGCAAGGTCCAATCGTTCACTGTCTCACCACCCGAGATCAAAGTGTGAATGGCATCCAAATCTGGATCCTGTCTCTGTGACTCAATCACTCGTTTGACAAGAGTAGGCTAAGTCACAAAACTAAACAAGAATGCCGACTCACTACAACCATCATCATCAAAACACTACAATCCCATTTCTGCCAAATTCTCAAGCATCTTCCATTTCCGAATGGCCAAACTAGCCAAAGTTCCACGAGATTTTCGGCTTAAGGCATCTGCTACTGCTACCACGTTTGCCTTGCCCGGATGATACTGCAAGTCAAAGTTGTAATCTTCCAAGAACTATGATATCCCTCGATTCTAGGGCTACGGGTGATCAAGTTCGAGCACAGATCCGAGAAATACTAGAAAATTAATATTTAAACAAGCAGGAATACAAAAGAATTAAGAATAAAATAATAGGCTGAAAAAAATTCTAAATATTATAAATCCTCAAAAGATTATACATTAATATAATTCAATCTTTCCAATCCGAACTGATGAGCGTTGAAAAGTGCATATTTAAACCCCTTAAGCTTAGGTATTCTAAAACCTTTATCTATCTTATTTTCTCGCTTTAGATTGATTTCGTGTTATTTCCATTTTCAGGTACTTATCCCCAAAATAAGCTAACTCAGCCAAATAAGAGCAGAAATGAAGCAATTCTGAGATGAATCAAAGAAAGGAGCAAAGTAGAGCAAAAGGAAGCAAAATGTGGAATTTCAGCAACTTCGATTGACCTCAAGAAAGGTTCGATTGATTCAACTTTCATCAATCTCAGCACTTCAAGATGGATCTGAGCCATGTTTGTCCCTATTCAAATATCTCAAAGTTCGATTGATCCAACTTGATTCTCTGATCGATCGAACTATCTTGTCCTTATCCAAATGATTGATCTTATCCAAACTGTACCACCCTACCAACCACTTTTGTCCTTTTCCCAAAAATATCTTCAAAATATCTCAGATTCATTTTTATCTAAAAAGGCGCCGCCATTGAGGATCGATCCAACTTAAGTTCGATAAATCTCAACTACATTCGATTGATCTCACCACAAGTTCGATCGATCGAACTTCCCAAATCTCGAGAAAATCTAAATTCCAGCTCATTAAAAGTTGTCTCATATCCAATCATTGGAGGAATATTGGGTGTACGAGCCCAGCTCATTTGGGGTGATTTTTAACCTACCTATATAAGGAATATGAGCCATTTTTAGAGATATGCTTGGAGAGGTGGGAGAGATATACTTAGACGCATAGAGAGGAGGCTAGAGACACAAGCTTGGAGATCTTCCATTAACCAAGAAGAGGAGCAATCTCTACCATGGAGTTAGCCCTTGAGGGTTGGGAGACACCATCTATGAGTGGCTAGACATCCTTTTGGGGCTAGAGTTAGCCTTAAGCATGTTTTCTATATCTTGATTTATGTATTTTTGAGGGGATTTGTATTGTTATACATGTTTTGACACTTTTATATATATAGATCTTGTTTATTCAATGATTTGTATGGTTTAATGCTTCTAATTGATCATTTCATTCTATCCATATGTCTATGTATGCTAGAATAGATGTTCATGTGTTTGTCTCTATTTCTTGTGCTATTGATGCATGTCTATGTGTATTAATGCTATAGATCTAGAGATTGTCAAGACATAGTGCTTAATGGAATGTTCTTGTGGCTTATTTGATGGTTCATTCTCATTTCTTGATGGATTGTACCTCTCCATTAGTTTAATTTCATGTCATTAGCTTAATTGAAGTTTAGATG